CAGTAATCCTTCTACACCCCCCCTCCCCAGTGGTGGTTGTCCCACTGGCTATCCTAAGTTGAATGCACCAATTTGTAAGTCGCTCTGGATAAGAGCGTCTGCTAAATGACTTAAATGTAAATGTAGAGGTGATATGATCATTAACTAGCCTCTCAAAGCACTTCATGATGACAGAAGTGAGTGCTATGGGGCAATAGTCGTTAAGTTACCTTTGCTTTCTTACGTACAGGAACAATGGTGGGCATCTTGAAGCAAGTGGGGACAGCAGACTGGGATAGGGAGAGATTGAATATGTCTGTAAACACTCCAGCCAGCTGGTCTGCGCATGCTCTGAGGACGCGGCTAGGGATGCGGTCTGGGCCGGCAGTCTTGCAAGGTTAACCCACTTAAATGTCTTACTCACGTCGGCCACGGAGAACGAGAGCCCACCGTTCTTGGGAGCGTGCCGCGTTGGTGGCACTACATTATCCTCAAAGCGGGCGAAGAAGGTGTTCAGCTTGTCCGGGAGCAAGAGGTCGGTGTCCGCGACGAGGCTGGTTTTCCCTTTGTAATCTGTGATTGTCTGTAGACCCTGAGCCGTTGAATTGCGACTCCACTTTGTGTCTGTACTGATGTTTTGCCTGTTTCATTGCCTTACGGAGGGAATAACTACACTGTTTGTATTCAACCATATTCCCAGTCACCTGGCCATGGTTAAATGCATTGGTTCGTGCTTTCAGTTTTGTGCGAATGCTGCCATCTATCCACGGTTTCTGGTTTGGGTAGGTTATAATAGTTACAGTGGGAACAACATCCCCTATACACTTCCTGATGAACTCAGTCACCATGTTCGTGTATACGTCAATGTTATTCTCAGAGGCTACCTGGAACATATCCCAGTCCGCGTGATCAAAACATTCTTGAAGCATGGATTTCGATTGGTCAGACCAGCGTTGAATGGACCTTAGCACTGGTACTTCCTGTTTTGAGTTTCTGCCTATAGGAAGGGAGGAGCAAAATGGAGTTGTGATCTGATTTGCCGAGGGGAGGGCGGGGGAGGGACTTGTAGGCATCCGGAAGGGGGAGTAGCAGTGGTCGAGCGTTTTTTCCAGCGCGAGTACTACAGTCAATGTGTTGCTAAGATTTTGGTAGCGTTTTCATCAAATTTGCTTTGAGGAAAATCCCCAGCTACAATCATTGTGGCCTCAGGATATGTGGTTTCCAGTTTGCACAAAGTCCAGTGTAGTTCCTTGAGGGCCGTCGTGGTATCAGCTTGAGGGGGAATATACACGGCTGTGACTATAACCAAAGATAATTCTCTTGGGAGGCATTTGATTGTGAGGTATTCTAGGTCGGGTGAACAAAAGGACTTGAGTTTCTGTACGTTATCACAATCACACCATGAGTAGTTAATCATGAAACATACACCACCGCCTTTCTTCTTCCCGGAGAGTTCTTTATTCCTGTCTGCGTGATGTACTGAGAACCCAGCTGACTGTATGGACGGGGACAGTATATCCAGAGAGAGCCATGATTCCGTGAAACAGAGTATGTTACAGTCCCTGATGTCTCTCTGGAAGGAGATCTGAGCTCGTCTACTTTTCTGTCCAGAGACTGAACATTAGCAAGTAATATACTCGAAGTGGTGGATGGTGTGCACGCCTCTTCTCCGCCAGTGGCGTCTTGGAGCAGCCTCTGGGAAAAGTTCAATTGCCCTGGGGGTACGAACAAAGAATCCAATTTGGGAAACTCGTATTCCTGGTCGTATGCTGGTGAGTTACCGCCGTTCTGATATCCCAAAGTTATTTCCGGCTGTATGTAATAACACAAAAAACATTCTGGGCTAATAATGTAAGAAATAACACACAAAAAAACAAAATACTGCAAAGTTGCTTAGGAGGTAGAAGCAGAGCTGCCATGTCAGTCGGCGCCATCTGCAACTATGAAGGTCCTATAGTCATGTTTCGCCACTGGAAACAACATTCTTATGTGGAAATTTTAGTACTTCAGCATAACGTTTCCTCCAGGTTTCCTCAAGGTTAAAGTTAACCCATGTTCTCAAATTGTTCCAAGAACGTTAAGAAAATGTTCCATAAAAACACAAGAAAACTTTAGTAACGTTCAGAGAATGTTATTTAAAAACACAGCCACAAGGTCAGATTCCACAGCCACAAAGTCAACATTGACAAAAAAAAGACGTGGATGTCGATTTAAGTCAGCCCTCCGCACCTCTCTGATTCAGAGGGGTTGAGTTAAATGTGGAAGACACATTTCAGTTGAATGCATTCAGTTGTACAACTGACTAGGTATCCCCCTTTCCCTTTATTTATTATTACCGCATGTCAAGAGGCATGAAAATTGGTGGTATAGCCTACACTCCAAAATGCGATTTCAGTGGCTGAGACACACGCAGACAGCAGTGGACACATAAATGATGGCCTAATGACATGACCTTTTTGGTGTTTTGTGTAGGCCTAACAGATGTCTCTTTCTATTCACCTCTGTTTGGAGGCTGGAAATGTGTTGTGAGTGGATAAACGTGTGGGGGTAGCCTATTAAAGGATCCCTTTGAAGTGATTGTTTGACAAGCGTGTGCACACATAGGAGGTCCTGCACCGGGATTCAATTAATTATACTTTCACCCCTGGGTTAGGGTTAAGGTTAGGTTTAGGAAGATACATTTTATAAATAGTTTTTATAATTATGACTTTGGCTCTGTTAACTAGTAACGACCATCGAGGAGGGGAGGACACTGGCCTTTTCTCAATGACACTGAACAAAAATATAAACGCAACATGTAAAGTGTTGGTCCCATGTTTTCATGAGCTGAAATAAAATATCCCATACATTTTTCATATGCACAAAACGTTTATTTCTCTCTAATTTTGTGAACTAATTTGTTTACATCCCTGTTAGTGAACATTTATCCTTTGCCAAGATAATCCATCCACCTGACAGGTGTGACATACCAAGAAGCTGATTATACAGCATGATGATTACACAGGTGCACCTTGTTGCTAGGGACAATAAAAGGCCACTCTAAAATGTGAAGTTTTGTCAGACAACACTGCCAGAGATGTCTCAAGTTTTGAGGGAGAGTGCAATTGGTATGCTGACTAGGAATGTCCACCAGAGCTGTTGCCAGATAATTTAATGTTAATTTCTCTACCATAAGCCACCTCCAATGTAATTTTAGAGAATTTGGCAGTACGTCCAACCAGCCTCACAACCGCAGACCATGTGTATGGCGTCATGTGGGCGAGCGGTTTACTGATGTCAACGTTGTGAACAGAGTGCCCCATATTGGCAGTGGGGTTATGTTATAGGCAGGCATAAGCCACGGACAATGAACACAATTGCATTTTATCGATGGCAATTTGAGTGCACAGAGATACCGTGATGAGATCCTGAGGCCCATTGTCGAGCCATTCATCCGCCGCCATTACCTCATGTTTCAGCATGATAATGCATGGCCCCATGTCAAAAGGATCTGTACACAATTCCTTGCAACTGACATGTCCCAGTTCTTCCATGGCCTGCATACTCACAGGACATGTCACCAATTGACATGTTTGGGATGCTCTGGATCGATGTGTACGACAGCGTGTTCCAGTTCCCGCCAATATCCAGCAACTTCGCACAGCCATTGAAAAGGAGTGTGACAACATTCCACAGGCCTCAATCAATAGCCTGATCAACTCTATGCGAAGGCGATGTGTCGCTCTGCATGAGGCAAATTGTGGGCACACAAGATACTGACTGGTTTTCTGATCCACGCCCCTACCTTTTTATTTTTTAAGGTATCTGTGACCAACAGATGCATATCTCTATTCCCAATCATGTGAAATCCATAGATTAGGGCCTAATGAATTTATTTCAATTGATGATTTCCTTATATGAACTGTAACTCAGTAAAATCTTTAAAATTGTTGCATGTTGAGTTTACATTTTTGTTCAGTATAGATTTGCTCAGCTCCTGCATCCTCTCTCGCCTCCTTTTGAAAAAGGTCAAAGGTAATCGAGGAGAGGAGGCGTGGCGAGGAGAGTGAACGTGGACGAAAATGCGCTTGTATGAAATGAGAAGCTCCTTCTCCACTTGCGCGTCATCAGGCAAATTACGTTTACAGGGGTGGATCCCCCCCAAAAATGTGTAAAGTGATAAAACCTCAAAGTTAGCTGTGCAATACATTTTATGTATAAAAGGATAAGTAGTATATTGTTTTTAAATGTGTGCATGCTTTTCTCCTCTGACAAAACAACAGCTGATTCAAATGGGGTGTGGCAGATATCAAAACTCTTCTGCGGTAGGATACACTTCCTTGCCAAAAGGAGGCTATCCAGGAGGGGAGGGTCTTCCGTTTGCCTACTAACGAATTGACACACTCCTCGACCAATCAACCACTGATCGGTTTCTGGGTCACGGAGGAGAGGACGGAAGAGAGCGAGGGTGGAGGACAGACTTTTCCCAAATGAGAAAAGGCCAAGGGGCTTTAAGACCAGGCATTATACATGGATGGACTACAGAAAGGAAATGCTTCCAGTTCAGGTAATGAGTTTATTCATCAGCAGTAGTTAAGAAAACACTTTCATTGATAACTATAGTTCGATTCAACAACCAATTTTTTAAGACGTGCATGTTCAGTGCAGTAGATGCATGATCGTAAAACAACTTTTGTTCAAATACATCTTTATCACCGTCGCTATATCCACACATCTTAAGATGAATGCACTAACTGTAAGTCACTATGGATATGAGCATCTGCAAGATGACTAAAATGTAAAATGTTGTACATACAGATCTCATATTGACTCAAATTGATCTCACATGTTTCATTTGTACAGTTCTTGTGTTACATTTGTGTTTTGCCAAAAAACATGATTATTTGTCTCTCTGAAATTAAACCATCAAGTGATAGATTTCAAACAAATACAGGTCTGTCATTGAACAACCCCATGCCATGATAGTGAAAAAACACACTAATCTCTTTCAGAAGTTCTTTAAACAATAAAAGCTACTTTACCAACATTTCTGAAAATGGATATAGAACGTTTTGGAATGAAACTCTTCATTTGTCTAAAAACTGAAGAGGTTCATAATCTTGTGACTCATCCCCCAAATACTTCTTCAGAAACGGCACAACTTTAAAGAGGTTGATGTGGAAATCTCTGGATTCATCGTCAGACTCCTGTTGGACATCACTGCTACCACCAGGGCACAGGTCTTTGGTTCCCCAGCTGATCACTCCAACCTATGAAGAATGGAAGAGGTGTCAGTACGCTACTAATTAACTGTAGATCACGAAGACCCCAGAGGTTTGCAAATACATTTTACTGAAATAAATATGGAATAATCATTGTAGAAAAAAGGAAAGAGCAAGAAGTATGAGGTACATAGAAAGTTGCCACTTAGCTAGGATCTTTGTTGCTCTGCTGTATGTAGTGTAGATATGCCCGAATGTCTCTAACCTGAATGGTGCGGTAATCATCATAGTCCTTAAACACAGCTCCACCGGAGTCACCTGCGCACACATACACACACACACACGCACGTACACACACACACGTACACACACAAATGAAGAGGTAAGACAAAGTAATAGAGAACTGTTTTCATTTTTAACAAGTTACAATAATTATATTACAATAATACTAATTCAAAACATAAGGTTCTCATTACATATAAACAAACAGTGAGTGCATCATCTAATGTTCAATTAACTGTTAACATACCTTTGCAGGCAATATTATCTCTAGTAGGTTGACGCCCACCCGTGCACAGGAAGTTGTCAGTCACAACATCCTTTAGATTAAGTGGTGTTATGCCATCTACCTGAGTAGCAGCCAATCTGATACAACTGTCCCTCAGCTGAAGAGAAAAATAAATGAGAGGCGCACATACGGGCATCATCCATTGGTGTGTGTGGTCAGACATCATGCAAGCACTCACCTGAACCTCAAGCTTAAGTTTGGCATCGCTGCGCTGATCCATTTGATCCTTCTTATCAAATGAAATGAAACTGACTTCTTCAATTGGATTTTTTAACAATAGCTGTTCTGCAAGGAGAACAATATATGAGGCAAGGCAACATACAGTACCTAGATTAACCTTGCTATATTCAGGCTGTGTATCTTGATGAATAGGCTGTGTGTGCGGTAACTGCACCTTGTTGCTTGCAGGTGGTAGCCTCTCCTACCAGTCTTAAAGCGCCACTTGTTTCCTTGGTGCAAGGGATGCAAATTGGTCTGAGGAACACAGTAAAGCAAGAATGCGTAAAGAAAACAACGTTCTTCACACGTTACTCCAAAGACCTGGATTATTTACATTAAGATCTAAAATGTCTGTGTCATTGTATTCAATCTGGTTACCTTCACATGGTTACCTTCGCATGGTTACCTTCGCATCATAATGTCATAAGTCTAACCTTATGTTGATAGAGATATCTACGTCCTTCTCCAGTTGGATGAGAGCTACGTCGTAATCATAGAACTCCTTAATCCCGTCTTTCTCTTTACCTCTGATATTATAATCAGGATGTAATATTATACGTGATGCTCCATTTACAACTGTTAAGGGGCAAGACCAGAGTGTAAGTGACCAAACCTATTGCTTACAATATCACCAGTTGCCTTGTTCAAGTAAATGTGGCATCCTGACAGATTTTCTCGTAATGATGATAATCACTTGAAAAAAAAAAGATTAGAAAAAAACAAAATAGGTGTAAGTGCAAATGTTTTTGAAAGGGGGGGCTGGTTATACCTTGAAGTTTTCCAATCGTAACACGGATTTTATCTGGTTTGTCTGCGAACTTGAAGCAGTGAGCAGCAGTCAAGATGAAGCGGCGAGAGACCAGAGACCCCATGCATTTACTAATTATTCCATCCTCATGCTATGGTATCAGGAGAGAGAGGTTGAACATAAATACTGTAAATAACAACAGGCAGGGATTTGCATCAATATCTAATTTAAATGTCAACAAGATTTCAAATTTTTTTGTGCACTGGGATGAGACAACAGAGTATGGGAGGTGTGTTTCAGCCATTTATCACTCCCATAGCACAAACAACCTGAAACATTGCATTGCAGAAACACACTGAGTGATGATTGAATTCAGGCCTTAAATGACAGGCGAGGTCTGCTGTATAGCGTTAGCTATCAAATACAATTCTAACTTAAATATTGTAATTTAAACGAAATCCAATCAATTATAAGTTAGTATAACTGCAATGTGTTGGCAATGACAGTGCACATAAATCAAATCTGAACATGAAGAAAAGCCACTGGGTCACTGATGAAATAATCAAGCGTGAACATGAGGCATGAGTAATTACTGTGTTTTCAATCCGTGCCATCCAGGGGTATCTTTGACGTATGCTGTTTGCGGTACCGTCATCATAGTTTCTATGGAGTCCGCATAAACCCACAACCTTGCTTTCATCTATGTGGAGGAGAGAACTCAACACACTGATACAACAAAGAAACTAAAATAGAGAATAATATCCATGCAGAGACACATAGAAATCTACACATTCTTTTATGTTTAAGCAATAAGGCCCGAGGGGGTGTGGTATATGGCCAATATACCACGGCTAAGGGCTGTTCTTACGCACGACGCAGTGGTATATTGGCCATATATCACAAACCCCCGAGGTGCCTTATTGCTATTATAAACTGGTTACCAACATCATTAGAGCAGTATAAATAAATGTTTTGTCATACCCTTGGTGTATGGTCTGATATACCACAGCTGTCAGCCAATCAGCATTCAGGGCTCGAACCACCCAGTTTATATTGTTGTTTAAATTAGGACTCTTACCAATTATATCATCAAAGGTTTTTTCCAATTCTTTAGCATCCTTTACTTTAAAGTAATGCTTCTCGCCGTCCCTTTTTGTCACTAGTGGCATGATATCTTCATCAAAAATTTCACTTCCGACACCAAAAACATAGATATCTACAAAGAAACAAGAGGAAGTGCCAAAAATCATTAGGCATGAGAAGAAATCAAGAACGTTAACATACTTGAGACGATAACTTGAATTTGGAATATTGTACAGTGCTGAGTGCCACAAATCATTGTTCAGAAATGATCATTATTCCTGAGAAAACTGCTTGTTGTAGGCCTTGCTCGGTCTTTCTAGTTAGAAAGCCACCATGTACAGCAGGGATGGGCAACTTTGATGGGGGTACCCCCCCCCCCCCCCCCCCCCCCCCCCAACTTTGCGAGCAAAACATTTTAGTGGCCCCCCTTGACAGCGGATAATATTTTTTAAGCTATAGAGTTAATTTCGTGCAATTCGATACATTTTGCCATCGGGTGTAGAGACATTTTGGAGTAAATTAATCCAAGGGGCTACAAAAGAGTGAGAATAGCTGAGAGTAGAATGTCAAGTTCTTGTTAAATGTCAAGACAACACAAAACTTTTGACCTCACCAAGATATTTATCCCGTTCTTCCTTTTTATTCATGTGCACTGCTTCCCTAATTTTGGCAACTGTGTTTTCAGGGCTACCCCCCATGTTGTAAGCACCTGCAAGTAAAGAGATTCAAGGGATTATTACTGAGCTGACCAAAGGTGAACAAAAGCTTTTAAAAAATAAGCTGCAAACTGCAATACATTCAAATACTTTCCAATACAAATATACATGAATAATACAGTACCATCTGTGAAAAAGATGAGGACATGGTAGACCTCCTTGAATAACGTTTCATTTCGTTGTTTTTGGATAGCCATGCGTTCCAGGATGGTTCTAAAGGCAAGGTTGAGATTGGTCCCAACATTATCTCTAGCTGTGAAAAAGTGCACATGCACACTGTTTGTCACATTACATTTGACCCAGCCATTGGATAAGTGTATTGTTTGATGATGTAAGTACATGTATGGTACATTTGTTGCTCACCATCATATTTAAAGTTGTCCAAGTTAGCCAAGACTTCCTCAAGTGGTTTTCTATTTTCTCCAGAAAAATCTATTATGTTGACAACCTCTAATACATCAGAAGCGAAGAAAAGGATTTCATAATTTGGGCTGACTGAAAAGGAGCTAACCTGTTAAAGGAGAAGATGCAAAACAGGATAACGTTTAATGATGGGTCAAAGAATATGAGAGGAATACTGTGGTGAACCAATAACTGATTCCATATTGTCAGTCATTTCTATGAGCTACATAGCATACTTTGTGAGTGCCTGTGACATACCTTTGTGATAAGTTTCTTGACTGCATTTCTTGCTTTGTCAAACTCTTTCTCCTCAATGCTGTCAGAGATGTCCATAGCAATGTATATGTTAAGCTTTCCAGCTTTATCTATTGTGATCTTCTTTCCTTCCTGATCTGTGTCATCTGAAAGGCACCAGTAGGATATCTTACTTTGACAATCACAGGTGGAAAATAACGTGTGCTTGAGGATATGTGAAAGGTTTGGCAAATACAGTGCATTCGGAAAGTATTCAGACGCCTTCCCCTTTTCCACATTACAGCCTTATTTTAAAATAGATAAAATAAAATAATCAATCTACACACAATACCCCATAATAACAAAGCAAAAACAGGTTTTTAGAAATGTTTGCAAATGTATAAAAAATAAAAAACAGATACCTTATACAGTGGGGGAAAAAAGTATTTAGTCAGCCACCAATTGTGCAAGTTCTCCCACTTAAAAAGATGAGAGAGGCCTGTAATTTTCATCATAGGTACACGTCAACTATGACAGACAAAATGAGGAAAAAAATTCCAGAAAATCACATTGTAGGATGTTTAATGAATTTATTTGCAAATTATGGTGGAAAATAAGTATTTGGTCAATAACAAAAGTTTCTCAATACTTTGTTGGCAATGACACAGGTCAAACGTTTTCTGTAAGTCTTCACAAGGTTTTCACACACTGTTGCTGGTATTTTGGCCCATTCCTCCATGCAGATCTCCTCTAGAGCAGTGATGTTTTGGGGCTGTCGCTGGGCAACACGGACTTTCAACTCCCTCCAAAGATTTTCTATGGGGTTGAGATCTGGAGACTGGCTAGGCCACTCCAGGACCTTGAAATGCTTCTTACGAAGCCACTCCTTCGTTGCCCGGGCGGTGTGTTTGGGATCATTGTCATGCTGAAAGACCCAGCCACGTTTCATCTTCAATGCCCTTGCTGATGGAAGGAGGTTTTCACTCAAAATCTCATTATACATGGCCCCATTCATTCTTTCCTTCAATCAGTCATCCTGGTCCCTTTGCAGAAAAACAGCCCAAAAGCATGATGTTTCCACCCCCATGCTTCACAGTAGGTATGGTGTTCTTTGGATGCAACTCAGCATTCTTTGTCCTCCAAACACGACGAGTTGAGTTTTTACCAAAAAGTTATATTTTGGTTTCATCTGACCATATGACATTCTCCCAATCCTCTTCTGGATCATCCAAATGCACTCTAGCAAACTTCAGACGGGCCTGGACATGTACTGGCTTAAGCAGGGGGACACGTCTGGCACTGCAGGATTTGAGTCCCTGGCGGCGTAGTGTGTTACTGATGGTAGGCTTTGTTACTTTGGTCCCAGCTCTCTGCAGGTCATTCACTAGGTCCCCCCGTGTGGTTCTGGGATTTTTGCTCACCGTTCTTGTGATCATTTTGACCCCACGGGGTGAGATCTTGCGTGGAGCCCCAGATCGAGGGAGATTATCAGTGGTCTTGTATGTCTTCCATTTCCTAATAATTGCTCCCACAGTTGATTTCTTCAAACCAAGCTGCTTACCTATTGCAGATTCAGTCTTCCTAGCCTGGTGCAGGTCTACAATTGTGTTTCTGGTGTCCTTTGACAGCTCTTTGGTCTTGGCCATAGTGGAGTTTGGAGTGTGACTGTTTGAGGTTGTGGACAGGTGTCTTTTATACTGATAACAAGTTCAAACCGGTGCCATTAATACAGGTAACGAGTGGAGGACAGAGGAGCCTCTTAAAGAAGTTGTTACAGGTCTGTGAGAGCCAGAAATCTTGCTTGTTTGTAGGTGACCAAATACTTATTTTCCACCATAATTTGCAAATAAATTCATAAAAAATCCTACAATGTGATTTTCTGGATTTTTCTTTCTCATTTTGTCTGTCACAGTTGACGTGTACCTATGATGAAAATTACAGGCCTCTCTCATATTTTTAAGTGGGAGAACTTGCACAATTGGTGGCTGACTAAATACTTTTTTCCCCCACTGTAAGTACTCAGACCCTTTGCTATGAGACTTAAAATTGAACTCCGGTGCATCCTGTTTCCATTGATCATCCTTGAGATGTTTCTACAACTTGATAGGAGTCCACCTGTGGTAAATTCTATTGGTTGGACATGATTTGGAAAGGCACACACCTGTCTATATAAGGTCCCACAGTTGACAGTGCATGTCAGAGCAAAAACTAAGCCATTAGGTCGAAGGAATTGTCCGTTGAGCTTCGAGACAGGATTGTGTTGAAGCACAGATCTGGGGAAGGGTACCAAAAAATGTCTGCAGCATTGAAGGTTCCCAAGATCACAGTGGCCTCCATCATTCTTAAATGGAAGAAGTTTGGTACCACCAAGACTCTACCTAGAGCTGGCCGCCCGGCCAAACTGAGCAATCGGGGGAGAAGATAATTGATCAGGGAGGTGACCAAGAACCCAATAGTCACTCTGACAGAGCTCCAGAGTTCCTCTGTGGAGATGGGAGAACCTTCCAGAAGGACAACCATCTCTGCAGCACTCCACCAAATCAGGCCTTTATGGTAGAGTGGCCAGACGGAAGCCACTCCTCAGTAAAAGGCACATGACAGCCCGCTTGGAGTTTGCAAAAAGGCACCTAAAGGACTATCAGACCATAAGAAACAAGATTCTCTGGTCTGATGAAACCAAGATTGAACTCTTTGGCCTGAATGCCAAGAGTCACGTCTGGAGGAAACCTGGCACCATCCCTACGGTGAAGCATGGTGGTGGCAGCATCATGCCGTGGGGATGTTTTTCAGCAGCAGGAACTGAGAGACTAGTCAGGATCGAGTGAAAGATTAACAGAGCAAAGTACAGAGAGATCCTTGATGAAAACCTGCTCAGGACCTCCGACAGGGGCGAAGGTTCACCTTCCAACAGGACAACGACCCTAAGCACACAGCCAAGACAATGCAGAAGTGGCTGTGCAGCAACGCTCCCCATTCAACCTGACAGAGCTTGAGAGGATCTTCAGAGAAGAATGGGAGAAACTCCCCAAATACAGGTGTGCCAAGCTTGTAGCGTCATACCCAAGAAGACTCAAGGCTGAAATCGCTGCCAAAGGTGCTTCAACAAAATACTGAGTAAACGGTTTGAATACTTATGTAAATGTGATATTTCCATTTCTTATTTGTAATACATTTGCAAAAATGTCTAAAAACCTGTTTTTGCTTTGTCATTATGGGGTAGTGTGTAGATTGATGAGAGGAAAACCAAATGGAATCCATTTTAGAATAAGGCAGAATATTTCCGAATGCACTGTATGATGATAATGTTATGGTGGTGATGACAACAGAATAGACTTCAACAGATAAACAATTGATGACATATTGGTTGTTATGCAGACCTACCAATGGGCGCTGCCAGCTGAAGGCTCTCTCTGATAGCACTGCCGAAGGCCTCCGTGATCTCCAGTGCAGTGTCATACGTGTGTTTGTCTGCAACAAGAACAAAAGATACCAGACAACCACAGGGTAAATCTTTTGGCATCTTTGAGCAATGAACTAGTCGTGACTGTGTTGTGTTTCTTGGAAAACTGTTATTGTTTTGGGTGTCTTTCTGGGGCCTTACAGTAACAACTAGGCTCAGTCCCAGTCCATTGGCCACTCTCTTGACATACGCGCGTCTTTGACCCCAACAAATTTAAGCCATCGTCACAGCGGTATGTCAATTCGTCATCTATGCCAAAACTGGAACCAGACCTCCTAGCACCAGCTGGAATCCCAGGGTCAGCACAGCGATCTTCACCTCCTGCTGTAAGAGAATGGTGGGAGAAAGTCCGAGAGAAATGGAGAGGGAGGGTGTGAGAGGCAGGGAGGGTATAGCATGCTACATAGGGAGGTTTTGTAGAGGCTGTGGCACTGAACGTCATTTATAATGTGTCATTACGACCAAAGAGGGTCCTGAGGAGGAAGACAGAGGCAGATTATAGTTTGCTACTCACAGTCACGGCTGCATATGGGTGTGCCCCCACTCCACTTCCCATGGGATTGGCACACACGGGAGGCTGAGCCGCGTAGTGAGTATCCCGAATAACACTCATACGTGGTCTTATTGTTGACAAAATATTGACTTTGTACAGGCAAGACAGAACCACTTTCTAAACCCAAGGGGTTGGGGCATTCGACCACTAAAGAAGAAGAAAACAAGATGGATGGAGAAAGCCCTATTTCAGTAGCATTTCTCTTATGTCAAATACTGTCTTCATCAAAGATATCAGGAATCATCACTTACTTCTGCACTGTTGAATAGGTCTTCTTCGTGGAGCTGGCTTCCAAGTTCCGCTTTTCAGGCACGAGCGAGTTAAAGCAGGAAATGGATAGTACCCGTCTGGACAGTGGTATATCAGAATGCTGCCATACTCGAGCTGCTTAGTGAGAGTGTAATGACCTCCTTCCATTCCCATTCCCTCCTCACTACAGGTGACTTCACACAGAACACCTACACCTGTGGGGTCAGTGTGGGAAAAGGTCCATCTATTTTACACACGTTTGTGCCTGTATGAACGGCCTGGGCCATGTTGGGAATCTGTCTAGATTACCAGAACACATCCGAGTTTTACCAAACCAGAATTCTTAATAGTGTACAGAACCCTAATGGATGGAGTCAAAGCTGAACGTGTGTATAGGTACACAAGTGAATTTTAAGACCCTAATAATAATTTAGGTTGATCATTATGATATTCAACAATATTATATGATCACCCCAAACGTAAAGTCTCACTTTGATGAACACCCAGTCAAAAAGTATTGACGGTGAATTCTATGAAATACAACACGTGTAGTTAAATATATCCAATAATGTATTTTTTTTTTTTTATGTTGAATACATGAATTTTATTTTCCACCCAGTGTTATATTATCCAGAATACAGGAGCATATGGGAAAATGTTTCAAAAAAGGTAAGAAAAGCCAACAACAGCAGTTTGAATGTAAGAGCCATGTCAAGGCACTTACCCATATAGAGAGGACATAACAGCAGCACTGCAGATAAACGCCAGAGAACAGAAAACTCCATGGTGGCTCACAGGTCCAAAAGTAAAACAATCTGCAAAAGGGTGCATCTTTATATGGAGAAGGTAGGAAGGACTAGCGGGAAGGTATAACTAAAAGTCACTGGTTAACCTAAAGTCAAATAAAAGAAGATGAATGACCTACTAAATGAGAAACAAAACACACACTCACAAAATGTCCAACAATTTGCCATATTCATTTTTATACGCTTTTTAAATCCGAGCCTGTGACTAACTGACAATCATCTATCTATTTATTATATGAACATTATTTGTACTTTGATAAACCAAATCGTAGCTAGGACAGCTTATTTCACAACAGGTTAGACCAAAAAGGTCAAAGATCCTAGTGTGTATTCAAGTAAGTAAACCTAGCCTCAGCTCTGTATATGTCTGTGGGTAATTCCAGTCCAACTCGAGGTGTCGTAGAAAAAAAGTATCACCCCACAGCGTTAAAAATATTTTCACATGACCCTCCCCTTGTACTGTAAAATAATTGACACACCCTCCCCCCTCATAAAAGTAACTCAAAAATAATGATTACCACCATAAATAACAATAACAACCTTGTGTTTCTAAACGTGGATATCGACTTTTCCACTACCATATGGTTTTGTGGCACTGGCTGCAGACAATGATCAGCTAGGGGGAAATCAGATTTTCAAAATGTTGACGCTACATTTATAATTATATAAATGAATGCAACGAACTTTACACCAACAGGTTTCTGTGCCAATGCACCACACACAACCTATAAGCAAGGCATAACTGCATACTGATTAGCGACTTTGAGCGCTTATCATTATGGTTTGCCTTTTCAATGCCACAATCAAGTAGAGTATGTAAATGATAGATTAATTTGTATTTTAAGAATAATGACTAAAGGATTTCACCCCAAATACAGTATAAATGTGTAAACTGTGTTACAATTATCAACCCACTAACGGGGGGGGGGGGGGGTAAGGAGAAAGGTGGAAACTGTTTAAGAAAGCCTCCTAAAGGTGGGCGGAGCAAAGTGCCTTTGTGTGTCAAGGGGTATAAAACAGTATGTATGTGTTTTGGGCGCCAGAGCTCTCCATGAATAAAAAGACAGATCATTCTTGTTGGTTGTGGACCTTGAATCATTTATGATTAAAACCAGAGCCTTACAACCTCTGGTAATGATTCAAGCTTAGGTTGAATTAGAGATAGAAATTCTCTTAACAGTAAATCTCGCCAAACAGAAAATAGATCCCTCCATACTCCGTATCGAAGGCTTGGTTTGACAATCTCTGAATGTCACTAAACTTTTTGGTGTTGTGTAACAGATGTCCCTTTCCATTAATTGAATGGCCGTTGCGCTGTTTGGATTCCGGAATTATATTACAGTGGAGTGGATGATGTAGCTCAGTTGGTAGAGCGTGGCGTTTGCAACGCCAGGGTTGTGGGTTCGATTCCAGTATAAAAAATAAAAAATTAAAATGTATGCACTTACTAACTGTAAGTCGCTCTGGATAAGAGCGTCTGCTAAATGACTAAAATGTAAATATGTGCAGGTAGCCTACAGGAGACGTTTGAAGTGGACTAATCAGGTTAAAACATTGACTAGTTGTGTTTATACCACACATAAAAGGTAATACATTTAAAAAGTTACATGACAAATATTTAGGCTGTATTGAAGCGTTAGGTTCTAGGTCTAGGAATAGCCGCACGCATCTGTATCAGAAGTAAGAATACAGCAAGACTAGCCTGCTACTATGCATTCCTATCGAGAATAGAGCCACAACTGATGCAAATGGAATGAAGCGCTCAAATAACAGGGCTTTTGCGATTATTTGATTGTCCCTATACAAGATCAATAGGGGAGCTTTTTGAGCTGTGTGTCTTCACTGTTCTTTCATGCGCAATGACGTACCTGGCCTCCGCTGCCTATTGGCTATTCCTCTATCTTGTGGATTTATTTTGAAATTTGAATGATTTTATATGTGGTATGATTGCTAGTTAACCTATTGCCGATCTGGACAAAAAAATCCCACTACCACTATTGTCACTATGGATAGAGGGCAGGATAGACAGTTAGACTGGTAAAGTGTAGTGCATGAGGGAAGTACCAAAACACCTTGATAGGGGAAGCAACATGCAAGCAGATGAGGAAATTTGGCTATATGGAAGACATTGTATAGTAAAACCTGCAAAATGGCGAATGTAAATCAGTAAAAGAATGCACTACCCTCCCTGTGCCCATAAAAAACACACACAAACCTCCCCAAAGCAAAAAACAAGTTTGACAAGCGTCCTTTATTTTGGACCAGCCCCCCCCCCACCCCACCCCACCCCACCCCAGTACATTTCGAAGTGTCCCTAACCATGTCATTATGTTAATCATCTCTAAATTAATTCTGATATATGGTTGATAAGGGATTATCTCTCAAACTTCTGACACAGTATTACACAACTGCAACTGTGACAAGACGAAAGTCACAGTTACTAAATTGGAAAGATTCACCAGACTATTGGAGGTTACTGTGGGCTACATACAGTTTTGTAACAACCAAGACATGGAACGCCCTTCAGAATCACTTTAATTCGGCAAGTACATTTACGCATTCCCGGAATTTAACTCTGTGATTGGTGCTGCCAGCAATAGACAAATGTAAAAACAGAATACAGACAGAGGAATTTACACAAAGTCTACATACAATATACACTACCAGTCAAAAGTTTGGAAACAACTACTCATTCAAGGATTTTTCTTTATTTTTTACTTTGTAGAATAATAGTGAAGACATCAAAACTATGAAATAACACTTAATGAGATACTTCACCTGGAATGCATTTTAATTAACAGGTGTGCCTTCTTAAAAGTTAATTTGTGGAGTTTCTTTCCTTCTTAATGCGTTTGAGCCAATCAGTTGTGTTGTGACAAGGTAGGGGTGGTATACAGAAGATAGCCCTATTTGGTAAAAGACCAAGTCCATATTAGGGCAAGAACAGCTCAAATAAGCAAAGAGAAACAACAGTCCATCATTACTTTAAGACATGAAGGTCAGTCAATACGGAACATTTCAAGAACTTTGAAAGTTTCTTCAAGTGCAGTCGCAAAACCCATCAAGCGCTATGATGAAACTGGCTCTCATGAGAACCGCCACAGGAATGGAAGACCCAGAGTTACCTCTGCTGCAGAGGATAAGTTAATTAGAGTTACCAGCCTCAGAAATTGCAACCCAAATAAATGCTTCACAGAGTTCAAGTAAAAGACATCTCAACATCAACTGTTCAGAGGAGACTGTGTGAATCAGGCCTTCATGGTCGAATTGCTGCAAAGAAACCACTACTAAAAGGACACCAATAAGAAGAAGAGACTTGCTTGGGCCAAGAAACACGAGCAATGGACATTAGACCGGTGGAGTCCAAATTTGAGATTTTTGGTTCCAACCGCCGTGGCTTTGTGAGACGCGGTGTGGGTGAACACACGATCTCCGCATGTGTATTTCCCACCGTAAAGCATGGAGGAGAAGGTGTTATGGTGTAGGGGTGCTTTGCTGGTGACACTGTCTGTGATTTATTTAGAATTCAAGGTATTCTGCAGTGATACGTCATCCCATCTGGTTTGGGCTTAGGGGGACTATCATTTGTTTTTCAACAGGACAATGACCTAACAAATCTCCAGGCTGTGTAAGGGCTATTTTACCAAGAAGGAGAGTGATGGAGTGCTGCATCAGATGACCGGGCCTCCACAATCCCCTGACCTCAACCAAATTGAGATGGTTTGGGATGAGCCGGACCGCAGAGTGAAGTAAAAGCAGCCAACAAGTGCTCAGCATATGTGGGAACTCCTTCAAGACTGTTGGAAAAGTATTCCAGGTGAAGCTGGTTGAGAGAATGCCAAGAGTGTGCAAAGCAGTCATCAAGGCAAAGGGTGGCTATTTGAAGAATCTCAAATATAAAATATATCTTGATTTGTTTAACACTTTTATGGTTACTACATGATTCCATATGTGTTATTTAATAGTTTTGATGTCTTCACTATTATTCTACAATGTAAAAAATAGTAAAAATAAAGAAAACCCCTTGAATGAGTAGGTTTTGACTGGTAGTGTATATACAATAATTCCGACTCACAGCCGGGGTAGTCTTCAGCAGTATTTAGTCGGATGAGGACAGAATTTCAGGACAAGAAAGACCCAGCTGTAATGTGTCCCTAATATACAGCAGCTCAATCTCAACAGACATTACAAGGGCTTTGGCTTAGATGATGTCACACACATACTGTAGCTTTCATCTAGCATACCCCTATTCTATGACAGATCACTTTAGGGTCACTATTAAATCATCTCACATTATCATAGGCTAAAGGTCCTCCTGCCATGTCAAAACAGCATAGATAAGTAAAAGAGAAATGTTCATTGGAGTTCCCCTTTAAAGTAAACAACAAGTCCGTTTCCAGTAAATTGATAGACAAGGCTAGTGTAAACAAGCCAGAGTACACATAGGCTACTTCATCATTTCCCGTAATTCATTGGCGCTCCATCCAATGTGTACTCTGCTGCTACTCTGTTTGTTATTTATGCATAGTCACTTTAACTCTACCCACATGTACATAGTACCTCAATTACCTCGACTAACTGGTGCCCCTGCACATTGACTCTGTACCGGTACCCCCTGTATATAGCCTCCCTACTGTTATTTTATGTTACAGCTGCTCTTTAATTATTTGCTATTTTCTACTTATCAATTTTTTTCTCAACACTTTTTTATTTTCTTAAAAAACTGCATTGTTGGTTAAGGGCTTGTAAGTAAGCATTTCACTGTAAGGTCTACACCTGTTGTATTTGGCGCATGTGGCAAATTAAATTTGATTTGTAATGATTAAATGATGATTTGCATTTATGCAGTGCTTTTTTCTTCTTAGACTCAAAGCACTTTACATTGCATGAGGCCAACTCACCCCAATCACAACCAATAGGCCTATGTGTCTACCGGATCAATAATTCCTCTGTTAAACTGCAGTTAAATTCATACAGGTAGCCTACATGCAGATATATGATCTTAATTTGATCACCCTGTTGCAGGAGAACTTTCCTGCAATGCAGGACATTTTAGAACTTGTAGTGTATTTGAGGTTTAAAAGGGCTTCTTGAAAAATACTAAGGG